ATGTGTTAAATCTTGTCCTTGATTTCTTGATCTCTTAAATACTATATTTTGTCTTGTTCTTAGGTATTTTGATTTGTTCTCAGTGATTAATTGTGGGAAGGTGATTCTTGTTCGTGATTGTCTCTCAAATACTATATTCTGTTTGGTTTTAGGTACTTCGGAATTTGTTTCTCAAGATGTGTGTGTGGTGTTTGTTCTTATGATGTTTTGTTGCTGCTCTCTATTGCTGCTGGAACACAGGAATTTCCCCATTGTGGGATCAATAAAGTCCTACCTAACCTAACCTAAAATGATTGATAACTTACAGATAATTGTAGTGCTCGAAAATAAAGACAAAGTGATACCTCTTTGTTTTCCCTGTCGTCTACCTATCACCATTCCAACTGAACAAAAAAAAAAAGGATCCTGACGAGAGCATTATGGGATGTGTAGTTTTATTCTAAAGTGTAACTGCATTGACTACATGTTATAAATTCGCGTTGGCAGCATAATATTCAAACATAACATTTGATACTTTTAGCCTTCCAATACTTTCCCCCGTTTAATTAGAAAACGTTTTTATTTGCCATACAAAGCGGCTTTGTATGGCGAAAACTACATTTCTACTAACGCCTCTCAGGTCCAACGGAGGATTGTGGAGCTTGTAGGCAGCATACAACTCCCAGAGTACATCGGTACATGTCTTCTTTAAGCTGTTCATGGCAACCTGAAAGGTAGGTTGTTATCTGAAGATAAGGTAGGCTGGTGAATTTAACGGTGCGTGTCATTTGTTTTTGTGCCTTTTTGGAAGTTTAAATCCAATTTAGCAATATATATACATACATGTAGTTGGACCTGTGTCGCATACCAATTGGTGCGTCCTAGATATACAACCTCCTCCTACCGGTGGTGACAACATACTCTAACTTATAAGTTTAGCTGGTCGCACTGGCGTTCAAAAGTGAGGATTTATATAACCAAAGATGATCAAGATCGAGCAGAAATCCCATTGTGTTACTTAGCATACCTACTGTTGTTGGCGTTTCTTGTATTACACTGCTTTGTATATTCAGTGTTTTGTTTTGGCCGTCGCAGGGTGTCAGAATGGAGGCAGAGTGTGTCAAAGTGGAAGATGGGAGGTGTTTGACCCAGCTGAGGTTTGAAGCTGCCGTGAAAGTGATTAGGAGTTTATCCCCGGATGGTACGTGGTGTGAACACACTAGTCTACAAGTCTCACTCTGGTCAGTTGATCTCAGGACATTTAATATCACACAGAATGGTGTCAGAGCTGGTCAGGTGCAGGACAACAACAGCATGGCCTGCCTCGGATCTTGTCTGATTTAAAAGGCTTAATCCACTTTACTTGCAGGGTACAGTGCAGTTGTGTCCTGCCAGCAGTCTGCAACTGAATGCATTAACGCAACAGTCACATTCGAAAATCATGTCTCAGGGTGGTTTCAGAAAATATTCAGACCCTTTCACCTTTTGCAGACTTTGTGGCATTGATTTAATTTTAAATCGATAAGATGATCATTTTTGCTCATCGGTCTACACTCAATAACCTGTAATGACAAAGTGAAGATGTTTTTAAGATAGTTTTGCAAGTTTATTACAAATCAAAAACTTAAAAGAAACTGGGTAAGAGGAGCCTTGGCCTTGGACCTTCTTGGTCCTGATGAATACTTTCTGAAACAGCTGTATGTAAGTGAAAGAAGCCAGCAAGAATGGTACATTGTACACACCTGTGTACCCGGAGTGTGAAATTCTCTGCTTAAGTTAAGCTTTTGTTTTCCAGGCCCCTTTCAGCCATCCAATGAGATGATGCTCAACTTCTACAGTTACTACAAACAAGCAACTCTGGGACCGTGCAATACACAACGACCTCACTTCTGGGATGCAGTTGGCAGAGCAAAATGGTAATGTGTCGATATATAATTTTATTGTCTTCTGAAGCTGTTATCACTTTCAATAATAATTTTCCACAAGAGAAAGATGTAGTGAAAACCAGTCAAGGCAAATCATGACAAAAAATTCTGAAAACTGAAAGTGTTTGACTTGTGCACATACACTTTGACCCCACTGTGCAAAACACAGCAATGTAAAATTTGCTTCACTTAATTTTGTGTCCTAATGACCTTGTAGCCATATTGCTAGACAGTTTATCTCATGCACACTGGGAGGTAGAGAGACTGCGAACACACTTCAGGGATAGCTCCAGTTGTTAATGAATGGTGAACTTTCTGTCCGCCTTTGACCCACAGCTTAACAGAGAACACATACACTGACCATATTGACAAAGCTGAAAACTGGCACTAAAATAATACTGTTGGCTTAGACTCTTTACACTAGACGTGGCTTTACTTTTCACTGAGTAAATGCATGTTTTACTTTTCTTAATCAGGGATGCATGGCATTCTCTTGGTGATATGCCAAAAGAAGAAGCAATGGAAGCTTATGTTGATGAAATGAAACTGGTACGTTTTTCATTAAATGTACTTTTCTAAGTAAGGCTACTGTCACATTACAGGCCTGTATGCTCACTTCTGATCTTTTTGATGGTTCACATTCATATTTCGCATTTATCTGACTCAGGTGTGAACACCAAGGTGCTAAACTGCCAAGCATGTGCAGATTTAAATGAAATGTGATTACAAAACCGAGCCATCGTGTTAAATCACTCACACTGGGTTTTGTTGCCGTCTTTGATGCGTAGATTCTGGAGGGCATGCCTGTGACAGAGGAGGTGGAGAACTTCTTGCGCGTTCTTGGCCCATTCTATGAGATGGTTGAGGACAAGAAAAGGATCACGCAGATTTCAGACCTCAGCACAGGTACAACTCACCAGGCAGAGCTCTTCCATCTTCACCCTTTGTTGTTGTTGTGAAGTCAGAAACAGCATGTAGAGGTTAACCTTTTACAATTTGCCTCTTGTCATATGCTCAGCCCGTTTGACACGGTTTGTTAGGCAACTGGAAGGCAAGTACAGTACTCTGTGAATATTTGAACCTGGTGGTATAATTTAGTATTTGTCTGGTGTTGTCACTTGCTTGCCTACAGTGCTTATTAGCAGACACGTTACGCATGTTGAATTAGTGCTATAGAAGCTGTGGTTAAGCACATTTTAGGCTTCCTGTGCTGTCAGAAACTGACACTTTCATTGGATACAGATAAATCCAAGTTGGGTTACTGTTTGTTTTGTCATTTGCTTTAATCACACATGAGGATTTTGTTCATCCCCAAACAGCCATGTACCTGGTTAACACTAACTTTAACTTGTGACTCTTAACCTCATGTAAACTCCTGCTCTGACTTAATTGTTATGTAGATAAAGCATTAAGTTTTTTTTCTAGTATTCGTGATCTTGTAATAAACTCCATTGTGTTGCACAGGACTTGATATAACGCTGAATTCAGTGCCATCAAAAAGTGCCGCAAAGAGCATTATCAGAAAACTGGAAATGAATGGTACTCTGCAGTCTACTCCTGCCAGGCTCAAATCAGAGGAAATGAGGGGAAGCTCAGGGGAAGACGCACAAGACGAGGGTGATGACGAAGAGGAGGAGGAGGAGGAGGAGGAGGAAGTAGTGACAAGAGAGAAAAGAAAAGCTAATGGTTCTTCACAGCTCCGTCGTACCAGAGTCACCCATCTGAACAACTGGAGTCATTCTGGGGATGACCTGAACAGTGACGACTCCCAGGAGGATTCAGCCAGCAAGCTTATGTACAACGGTCACCATGAAGGTAAGAAAAGCAGTAGGTTTTGTACTGGTTAGTTTGTCCTCTTCTATTAGTAGACTTAAAATGGTTACTGAAGACTTCCTCTGTGTCAGTGCACCGTGTGATCAGATAATCTGCTAAACTGTAGCAGCTCAGCAGGTACTGAATCTTAACATTTGACATATCAAGTGCTCCTGGGACAGTTTGTTTTACTGGATAACTGAAATGGAACACAGAGTCCCAGGCTAAATAAACACTGCTTTCCTTCACTTCACTCTATTAATTACAACGCTGTTTACTCTAATACTGTTTTTTTTCTGTGTCCTTTGAACTGATCTCAGATCCCAGTGTAGATGTGTCTGGTCAGGTTAACTTAGCCAGTGATTCAGACAGCGAAATCTTCTGCGATTCTGTGGACCAGTTTGGCCAGGAAGAGGCAAGTAAAGCCTGAGAACTCGATTATTATACATGATTATTTGCTGAATTGGTCCATTACTGATTCATTTTAATGTGCTCCAGAGCTCAGAGGGCAACCGTTGTCATGAAGAGAAGGGTGAAGATTACAATGTCATGCAACATGTGGAGGAGATGCAGGAGGATGTTCAAGATCCCACAGAAGTTGTCTGGTGTGTGGAAGATGGAGAAAACAGACACACAGTATCACAGAGAGAGCTGAAGGATGCAGATGCGCTATACAACATCACTCTCAAAAGAGCATGGGGTAAGGTTACACTCAGTGCGTTTATTCTCCAAGCCCACCGGACTTGCTTGAAGTTCGTGAGGACGTTTCACTTCTTATCTGAGAAGCTTCGGCTCAGAACCGAAGACCTAGGGGGGTGTTCTTCAGATGACGCTAAACAATCTGAGATCAAATGAGTCATGCTGCATTTTCTAAGGCCAGCTAAGGTTATCCAGATATTTTGGTTCTTCCACCTCCACCTAAGATGGATACTGGCTACATTTGTCTTTGGCTACATGCAGATGTCCAAAGAAAAAGTGCAGTCTGTTACCCCAGCAGAGTGGGAGCTTCTGCACAGCAGTGAAAGTAAAGAATCAACTTTATTTTAGCTGATACTGATCCTTTAAAATATATGCCCAGACCAGCTTGTAATCTAAGCGTGTCATTTTAATATATACAGTGTATGACGATGATGACAAATGATTTCCATGTCTTTAGCCTCCAGGGCTTCAGGCGACTGTCCTGGATCTGTGATGCCTGTCCGCAGGGGTGGAGATGAGAATGGGAGCAGCAGCAGCGGCGGCACAGAAACACCTGCAGAGGGCCTGAATGACCAGATAGTTGTGGTGCTGGCCAGACTGCAGGAGGACATGCAGAGTGTTCTGGAGAGACTGAACAACCTGGAGACTCTAACTGCTAGTCAGGTCAGACCAGTGTGTCCTCTCAATTACTGCCTTCACAATGAAGAGTTGCATCAAGTAATTGATACAGAGAATGTTAATTTGCAACAGTTTTGGTGATAGAAACATTTTTGCCTAAACCTCTACTTAAAAATTTTCTCCTCCAGATATGTCATGCTTTTTTGGCTTTATATGAAATTTATCTAGATTTTGGGTGTTTGCCCCAAAAAAACTAGCAGTCAAAATTGTTTTCTATGACAGAAGTCTTTCCTTTATTGTCTTCTAACATTTTATAGACCAAACGTAATGCAGAACCTGGAACTGCTTTCTGTGTGACTTAAGTTTACTGATGAGGCTTTTAAGGAGGGGTTTGTACTTAGGACAGGGGCCTGTACCACAAAGCCAGATTAGTTGGTTATCCAACCAACTTATTTTAAGAAAATGATTTCTTGTTTGGAGCTTCTTATGTTTATAGTTCTCCTGCCTTAATATCACTTTTTGCTGTGACTATAAACAAATTTCCCTGCAGGTATGTTACATATACCTGATGAACGTGCTCGTGGACCGATAGGAAAACCCAGACTTAACAGATAACAAGCTTCATGGCACCAGACGAAGCAATGTTAGGCTCAGTGAAGGCAAATGACACTAAGTTACTCAGAATTAATTGAGCTTCTTTGTACAGGCCCTAATTGTTCATATGCAAATGATATTTACTTTTTAGGTGGTTAAAAGTTTTTTTTTTTTTTTCTGGATCTCTACAGACAAGATCAGTGACTCTACCTCCTGCTCATAGATCACACCTACTGAATAAGAAGAGTCAGGTAAACATTAAGAAGTTTTTTTTGGAAAGAGCTCTCAGGGTTTTAGACTGATTTTGGTCTTTGTGTTCCACTTTTATATAAGAACATGTTTTAGCATCATCA